GCTCTGATTTCCTCTAGGGGCTGTGTCCACACTGCCTCGGCAAAGGCAGAGCCCCCTGCTTCAGGCTGTCGGGCAGTAGGCCTGCTGCTTTCTGCACGTTTGGAACAAGTGTAAGAAGGTGCAAGCTGCTGCAGTGGCTTCCAAACGCCAGCAGATCCAATTGCCCTCAAGACATGGAGAGGACACGCTGTTAACGAAATCCCAAGACAAAGGTGTGGACTTTGGGTATCACAGCAGCTTCTGATCTGCACACAGGGCTCTTTCAAATGGCAGGCACAGAAGGCTGGTTGGTCCGAAATCAGTCATAACGGACAGCTGGATCTCACAGTGAACAGGTCGGATGAGCGAGTGCGTGGCGGACGATCCACTCCCTCACTGCGGGTCTCACCTCTACGAAGCTTCTTGCCAGGACCTCTAGCGAAGCTTCCCTGGGACCGCACACATGAGACAGGTCTCCAGATGGCCGGAAGAGGGCGCTGCGGAGCGCCTCGGTCTGCAACTGCCAGACGTGGAGCCGCGCAGAGCCAGGGGGATTGCAGCCTCCGCCAGGTCCCAGAAAACCCGATGGGCCACGGAGATCCTCGGAGCGGGCCTGGGGTAGAAGCCGGGGCCACCTGAAGCTTGCTAGGAGTGAAGGAGAGGACAAGTGTGGAAGGTTGCAGAGGCGGGAAGGGGCGCAGGAGGGAATCCCAGCGCTGCTGGCGACTGCACAGAGAACGCTAGGGCGCAAGCTGTTGCGGCTGCGGTTTGGTGGGGGATGCAGGGCACAGAGAGCTGCGGGTTTCGGTCGTCTACACTGAATGAGCCTGCGCAGGTCCTGGGGCACAAGCAGCCTTCCGAAACCAGTCCTTTGGGTCCGTGGAAGGGCGGCGGGCGCCCCGGCGCCCCTGCCGGTGTCCCCGCCCCTTAGGCTAGAGGCTCCCGCCTACACTTTTGCCGCCTACAGGCAGTCAACCTAAACAGTACTGGAGAACGAGGGGGAAAACCGAGCCCCAAGTTCTCCGTCCTGTTGGGGCCCGACGCAGCGGCGCTGGCCCCGCTGAGTCTGCGGGAGGCCTCCCGTCCGCGTTGGCCACCTCCTGCCGATCCCTCTCCTCTCTGCTTTGTGAATGGCTCTCCACCTTAGCTCCTACCCCTCAGGTCTCTCCCCACCAGGGGGCGCACCTGGAGCTGGTGGCGCGGGTGTGGTCCCTAAATACAACTCGAGGGCTTGAGCTGCGTGGCATGGAAATAGGTAGGTTTCGAGATGGCAGATGTGGTCCTCCCCGAGGGCCTGGCCTTCGTGGACGCCCCCTGACCGCCATCCCGACCCCAGAGCACGCCAGCGCTCGACAGGAAGGCGCAGGAACCATGCCTCCAAGTCCCGGGGCCGCTTCGCGTACCCCATCCCCACTGCCCGGAGGCCACGCCTTGGGAAAAAGGCATCCCCCAAAAGGACCATCAAGGATCCCACTGAGGAGAGAGGGCGCCTGCGAACGCCGCGCGGCTGCACACCTCGCGGGTACTCCCTGGGAGCTTCCGGTTCTGGCGCCTGGGAAAGCAGCCCGGAGAGGGCCCCGTGAGACCCCATCAAGGAGAGGCGGCAGCCGCTGGATCTCAGAGTTGGGGAGCAGCGCCCCCCAACGCCCGGCTGCGTCCCTGCCTTCTGCCCCGGGGTAGGTGGCCTCGAGGGCGCTCGCAGGCCTGCTAGCCCAGCCCGGGAGCCTGCACCTGACGGCGGGAGTGTGGACACAGCCTCTAGAGAATATTTGAGCAAGGAGACCGCTGAGACTAGGTACACTGGGGCCCTGCATCTCTGGGCAGCTTTTCCCTCCAACTCCTCCTCCGCCCTGGGACTCTTGCCAAGGCCATTCCTGCCCTGCCTCCCCCTCCCACCCCGCTTCTATAACCCCCAAAAAGCAGAGCGTAAAGAACTCCTCTTTGCCAGACATAGTTTACAAACTCGGACATCAGGTTTCCTCCTGCGTTACCCGAATCCCCAGCTCAACAAATCCGGGAGGGTACGTACACAGGGTAGGTTCCAACCATTGCTGCAGCCCCAGGCACAGGTGCTAAGAGACTTCCTTAAGATTTCTCCAGGCACGCAGGGATAGATCAAGGGGAATCTCGCCCTCAAAGAGGGAAGCCTGAACACATTAGTTTTGTTGCAGGGTGTGGCGAGAGCCAGGAAAGCAAAGCTGCACAACCAGAAAACCCGCAAAGCCAGGCCTCGCACCCTGACTTCATGTGTACTTCCCACAACCCCGGAGCGTGGGAGCACCGGGAAATGGTGCCGAAATTCTTTACGACCCATCTCGTTGAAATTCCGCAGTAACACCTGTCATACAGTAACGACGTCATACCTGGGTGCTTTTTGTGATTCATTTGAGAGTCCTGTGTGCGTGGAGCCACATCTAGACGGTCTATAGCTGGATCTGCCCGCCAAGCACCGTGCCTGGCACGGAGCCGTTGCTCAATCAGTATTTGCCCAAAGAAACTAGAATTCCAGTAAATCCTGGAGCCGAGTCAGTGCCCGCGGAGGTGTGAGGGGCCACGCAGGACGTCAGGAAAAGCAGGCCGGGGACACGAGGGACAGCGGGACAGGTGTTGCGCCCACGTGCCACGCGGTCGAATCACAGACCCCGAATCAGCCGTCTGTGTGCGACCTCTGTTCTCCCCAAGTGACCCAGGGCGAAGGGCAGGAGGAGAAGCATTGCCCTTCTTCTGCGGGTATGAGCGGAGGCTGATGACAGTTCGGCGCCCCCAGGGCGCGTCCTGGCCCGGAGCCGCAGCCAGCGAAACTCAGTGGTTGGGATGGCCGAGGCCGTGTGCGACCGCACCAGGGACAGCTCCACAGCGGGCCAGCGCTGTGTCCCGCCCGCTGGCTCCGCACAGTGCCCACCCCACCCTGGAGCCAGTTAGCCGAGGGATGCGGAAGACAGGGCTCCCCGTGGACTGAGCCACGCATAAAGCCCTGGCTTAAGCGGAGTCTGCCCTATTTAAGATGAGAACCGAGGCAGCCGAAGGAAAAATCTCTCTTGGGTCAGAGGCAGGTGTCGGGGCCACAGGTGAGGCCCCCGAGGCCGTGGCTTGGACACACCAGGAGATACACACGTGTGCCTTGTGGCCTCCAGGCGCCTTCGCGTTGGGCTTATTCTTAGCAAGGCAGCGCGCCTGGGAAGAACGCGGAGCGGTGGCTGCACTCGAAGGGACAGTGGTGGGGCTGGCGCGGGGCCTGGGCCGCAGGGAGCCGCAAAGGCCCAGGCGAGGTCCAGACAAGAGAGAGCCGTTGCTGGTGCGCGCCTGCCCGCGGGGACTCAAGCACAGACCCTGTTGCGCCAAGAGGTCGAAGCGGTGGCAGGGAGGGCCCCACCCGCGTGGAGCGCGGGCGCCCGCTCAGCGCCCCCACTCGCCACCTGCTCCGTGGTGCCGAGTGCCGGCCTGCGGTCTCGTCGAAAGCTGCGGCCTGGGTTGTTCACGCACTCCCGGGAATGTCCGAGCTGCTAGCCACGTGCGCTCAGAGCCTGCTGCGGAACGAAAGCCCGCCCGAGGCGGCACGACTCCGGGGAGGCCGTGGAGGGTTCATCCACCTCTGCCCTTCCCTCCAGTCCTGAACCCTAAAGTGGGGGAGGGGAAACGTCACGACAGCTACCTGAACCGATTTCACATCTTTGATGTGCCTGATCTCTTTCACACACACACACACACACACACACACACACACACACACACTCCTTGAGAAGATTTTCCATTCCTAACGGCCTTGAGACTAGGAGAGATGTACGACGTCCCACAGTCGGTGCGTCTTACATTTACCAACAAGCATGAAATAATGGAAAGAGAGAGGCTTGGAAACCCACTCTGCCTTCGCAGTAAGACCCCTCCGGGGGCCACAGACCCGCCCAGGGCTCCCCTGCAGATCGGGTCTGCAACTCAGTTTTGCCTGCTCTCTGTCGTCCGCTGGCGTCTCCTCCCCTCCTTGTTTCCAGGGCTTATAAAAGACACCACAGAGACCGAAGCGCGGTGGATAGGGTCTGAGTCCTTCCTAAAGGCGCCCCCCCCCAGGGAAGCCCCTGGAAAGGGGGGAGGGCAGGAGCCAAGCTTCGCTCCTGGTTTTCGAAGGAGCAGCAGTAGCAGCAACAAGCGCGTCCCCACGCGCAAGGTGCACTGTCTCCCGCTCCAAGGCCACCGCCGCTGGGACCTCCAGGCAGTGCAGGCCCAGGCGACCCAGGGACTCCCGAACTTTCTGTGTCTCCCCCTAAGGGAGGTGGCAGGTGAGGAAAGAGAATGTTAACATAGAAGTTAGCTTCGTATTGAGGAAGGACAGAGCACTCTGATAAGCAAACTTTCCCTACTGTAAATGCTTTTAATAATAATAATTTAAAAAAGAGCCTGACCTGCTGAATTAAAAGGTTCAAAACTGCCTGTTCTTCATCAGCGGTTCAGGAAAGTGTGTGTGTGTTGGAGGTGGGGGTGGGGTTGGCGGAGAACCGTGAAAACAAAACAAAAAAACCGAATTCGAGAAGCCTGCTTGACCGACCGCGGAAGGGTCTTGGAGGCACCTGCTGGGCCGAGGAGCGCTCCGCCCCTCAGCCCCCGGCGCGGGGAGGAGGCTCCGACAGCCAAAGGAAAGCAAAACAAAAACAAACAACAAAAACGGTTGCAATCCAAGGGGGACAAGTCGGCATGGGTCTCACAATCTGCAGCACGCAGGGCTCCGTCCGGTAGTCCACTCGGCTGTAGGCTCCGGCCTGGCCGGAATAACCCAGCTGCCGCCCACGGGCCCGCCGGGGAGTGCAGCCCACAGCTCCCCCTCGCCAGGCGCCCAAGGACCCTCAAGGCGCGGGGCTCACACTTGAAGCCTGGGAACGCGCAGACAGGAAACCCACTTCCTCCTAAGCAGTTTCTTGCTCGCTGGATGAGAGGCGCCCAATTGAAGCAGAATGATCCTCATCTACTAATATCCAGCGTGGTCACAAAGCGACTGGCCATTTACGCCGCCACTTTAAACAAAGATATTTGGTTATTCCCGGGGAAGCAAGTGCACTTTTGCATGGCTGAGCTCCGGGCGGAGGCGAGCCTCAGCCCAGCCTGCAGCCCGCGGGGCTGCCTGCGCCTGGGTACCGGCCCCCTCCCGGCCCCGCGGGTCCCGCCTTGGGGCAGGCTCTGCTACATCCCAGCTATAGACGGGCGGGCTCTCTCGCCATCCCCGGCCCGAGCCCTCCCAGAAGCAGAGGAGGGGGAAACAGCGTGGCCGTGGGCTCCGGTGGTGCCGGGGCTGCGATGGCCTGGGCAAGCCTACTCCGGCCCCAGAACCCCGCGTGTCAGGGCTATGGGCAAGGGCCAGGGACGCCAGGTTTGTTTGCGGTGGGGCAACCCCAGTGAGGGACCCCAGTGGGCCCCGCGCCGGAGGCCAGCGTCGCGCCTGCTCGGCGGGGGGTGGGGGTGGGGTGCGGTGGGGAGGGGGTCCTGGTGGGGGGAGGCGGGGAGGGCTGGCCCGCCGAGAAGACCCCGGGCTGGGGGTGGGGTGGCGCGGGGATCCGGACAGCCTCCCGGAGGCAGTCGATCCCCTACTCAGCGCCCCCTCCGCCCGGCGCGATTCTCTCGGGCAAGGGGGGTAGGGGGGAAGGGGGCGGGGAGCAGAGGTGTCCCTCTGACGGCGGCAGAGGAGGCAGACAGACTGACAGACACGTAGACCAACAGTGCGGCCCCAGGGTTCGTCCCCAGACTCGCTCGCTCATTCGGTGGCGACCGGGGCTCGGCGCAGCGAAGCCCGATGTGGTCCCGAGGCAGTGGGAAGGCGCGGGGCTGGGAGGCCGCGGCGGGAGGGAGGAGCAGCCCCGGCAGGCTCAGGTGAAACCCCGCACCCCGTCCCTCGGCCCCCTCCTCCCCGAGATCCGTCCCCGCCCGGGGAACCCCGACCGAATCGTAAAGCGGTTCCACTTTGTAACTCCGCGAGTTGGTTGCAAAGCAGCAGTCACCTTCCTTCCTCCCCGCCGTCCCTCCTCCTCGACTACTCCCCACCCCACCCCACCCCACCCCCTGCCCTCCCCGCTCTCGGCTCCCTCCTCCTTCCCCACCCCCTCCTCCCCGCGCGGCGCCGGCACCCCACAAAATATGGGGGTGGGGGTGTCCAGGGGAGGGGGAAGGCAACGCTTTGGGTCTCGTCTCAGCCTCTCTCTCCTCTCTCCTCTCTCTCTCTCTCTCTCTGTCTCCCCTCTCTCTCCCTGAGACCTAAAAATCCTGACAAGTGAAACTTAAAGGTGTTTACCTTGTCATCAGCATGTAAGCTAATTATCTCGGGCAAGATGTAGGCTTCTATTGTCTTGTCGCTTTAGCGCTTACGCCCCGCCTCTGGTGGCTGCCTAAAACCTGGCGCCGGGCTAAAACAAACGCGAGGCAGCCCCCGAGCCTCCACTCAAGCCAATTAAGGCGGACTCGGGCCACTCCGTTACGTGTACATCCAACAAGATCGGCGTTAAGGTAACACCAGAATATTTGGCAAAGGGAGGAAAAAAAAAAGTAGCGAGGCTTCGCCTTCCCCCTCTCCCTTTTTTTTCCTCCTCTTCCTTCCTCCTCCAGCCGCCGCCGAATCATGTCGATGAGTCCAAAGCACACGACTCCGTTCTCAGTGTCTGACATCTTGAGTCCCCTGGAGGAAAGCTACAAGAAAGTGGGCATGGAGGGCGGCGGCCTCGGGGCTCCGCTGGCGGCGTACAGGCAAGGCCAGGCGGCACCGCCGGCCGCGGCCATGCAGCAGCACGCCGTGGGGCACCACGGCGCCGTCACCGCCGCCTACCACATGACGGCGGCGGGGGTGCCCCAGCTCTCGCATTCCGCCGTGGGGGGCTACTGCAACGGCAACCTGGGCAACATGAGCGAGCTGCCGCCGTACCAGGACACCATGCGGAACAGCGCCTCCGGCCCCGGATGGTACGGCGCCAACCCAGACCCGCGCTTCCCCGCCAGTAAGTGAGGCCGCCCCAGTGCGGGGCCGCGGGCTAAGCACAGGAGGCGCCGCACCGGCCGGCTAGGCGCTGGCCAGCAGGGCGTGCGGCCGGGCAGCGGCGCCAGGGAGTTGGGTGCGGGAGCTGGGGGTGGGGTGGGGGGGAGTGGGGGTCCTCCCCCTGTTAGGCTTGGGGTCCAGGTAGAGGGCACTTGGTTAGCGCTGGGGTTCGGGGGGACAGGTGCTGGCACCCGGGCATCTCCGGTTCTTGGCCAACCGGCTTAGCTCTGCCCCTCGCGGAAGCCCTGGGAGAGCCCAGGGAGGCGACCTCCGAGCCGAGGGAGCGGGAGCGAGCAGAGCGCCGAGGGGCTAGGCCTGGCTGGGAAGGGAGGCCGTCCCGCTGGGACGCACTCAGGAGCCCGGCCGTCGGGGTCTGGGCAGGTGGGAGGGTGACCGGCTCCGGAGGGGGCCCTAAATGGGCCGAGCAAGTGCACTCTTTGGGGCCTCCTAGAGAAAGCCAAGAGGCAAAGCGTCTGGGAACTCGAGCTTTACAAAGTGAATACCCCTCTTCTAACCGCCCAAAGTCTACGGTCAGACCCCAGCTCCCGACCGGAGCTCAGGTCACCGCCTGCGGCCGGCGAACCCTGTCCGGTGCCTCGGACTGGCACTGGGCGCGAGGGAAGCAGGAGCTGCCTCTCCCCTCGCTGCGCCTTTTTGGGTCCAAAGAGCGTACTCAGACTGAGAGGGTAGCCAGGAGCTCGCCAGGAAGCTCTTCGACGGCTCGGCCCGGGGCAGGTGCCTAAGAGTCCCCGTGGATGGGCCTCTTGGGCCGGGCGCCGGGCGGCCTGGATGAAGAGAAAGCCGTCGGGGGCGGGCCGGGCAGGCCAAGGCGCGCTGAAGGCGGTGGTGGCCTGGCCCGGCCCGGCCCGGGCCCCGGCCCTGGCCCTGGCCCCGGCCCCGGCCCCGGCCCCGGCCGACGCTGTGCGTTTGTCGCTTACAGTCTCCCGCTTCATGGGCCCGGCGAGCGGCATGAACATGAGCGGCATGGGAGGCCTGGGCTCGCTGGGGGACGTGAGCAAGAACATGGCCCCGCTGCCAAGCGCGCCGCGCCGGAAGCGCCGGGTGCTCTTCTCCCAGGCACAGGTGTACGAGCTGGAGCGACGCTTCAAGCAGCAGAAGTACCTGTCGGCGCCGGAGCGCGAGCACCTTGCCAGCATGATCCACCTGACGCCCACGCAGGTCAAGATCTGGTTCCAGAATCACCGCTACAAGATGAAGCGCCAGGCCAAGGACAAGGCGGCGCAGCAGCAACTACAGCAGGACAGCGGCGGCGGCGGCGGCGGAGGCGGCGCCGCGTGTCCCCAGCAGCAGCAGCAGGCTCAGCAACAGTCGCCGCGCCGTGTGGCAGTGCCGGTCCTGGTGAAAGACGGCAAACCTTGCCAGGCAGGCGCCCCCGCGCCGGGCGCCGCCAGCCTCCAAGGCCACGCGCAGCAGCAGGCGCAGCAGCAGGCGCAGGCCGCGCAAGCGGCAGCCGCGGCGATTTCGGTGGGCAGCGGGGGCGCCGGCTTGGGCGCACACCCGGGCCACCAGCCCGGCAGCGCGGGCCAGTCTCCGGACCTGGCGCACCACGCCGCCAGTCCCGCGGCACTGCAGGGCCAGGTCTCCAGCCTTTCCCACCTGAACTCCTCGGGTTCGGACTACAGCACCATGTCCTGCTCCACCTTGCTATACGGTCGGACCTGGTGAAAGTTCGCCGGGCCGGCCCCAGCCCAGCGCGCCGCCTCACCGCTTCCCTCGCCCGCCACACGGACCACCGTTCTCTCGCTGCTCCACGCGCTTCGACTTAAGAACCTATCCCCGTTTAGACCAAGGAGCGGGGGAGGAGACCACAAAGGCCAAACTGCTGGACGTCTGTTTTTTTTTTTTTTAATTTGTGAGTTTTTTTTTTTTTTTAAAGAAAATAAAAACAACCAAGCAAATCCAATTCCTTAAGGAGTCTGAACAGCTTGGGGTGGGTTGGGGTCTTTACGGTGATGCCAATGGGTTTCCCACGCTGGGGAGGGATGCAGATTGGAGAGGACTCTAGGTTGACATGGCCCTGGACTCTATAAGGAAGGAAAACTTCACTCTGGGTACACTCTGCCAGCCATGTGGACTCGCTTGTAAATACCAGGATTCTTTTTCCGAAGGGAGGACGGGAGTGGGGAGAGGAAAGACTCTTGGACATAACCCACTTGTCAAAGACACAAAGGAAGTGCCACCTCCCCCAACGCCCTGGCTGGTCTAGGTTCAGCCAGGACCGCCTCTGCAAGCGAAAACTGTTTTATGTTTGATGTGAACTTGTAGCTGTAAAATGCTGTCAAAAGTTGGACTAAATGCCTAGTTTTTAGTAATCTGTACATTTTGTTGTAAAAAGAAAGAAAGAAAGAAACCCAGTCCGGGTCCCCAGCCCCTCCCATTTTTTATGGACATTGACAAATCTGTGGATATTATTTGGCAGTTTGGTATTTGCGGCGTCGGTCTTTTTCTGTTGTAACTTATGTAGATATTTGGCTTAAAATATAGTTCCTAAGAAGCTTCTAATAAATTATACAAATTAAAAAGATTCTTTTTCTGATTAAAAATCCTCCTTTTTGTTTGGTTTTGATTTGGCTTTCAATGGCTGTTGTGGGGCTGGGAAGGGCACATCGTTAGCCTGAACCTGCTGTGGAGGCCGGACGCACAGCCCTGTGGCCCGTGAGAAGAGGGAGTTTTGTTCTGCCTCGGAATTGAGTGTAATCTAATCTTGAGCAGTCCTGGGACTCCCAACTGCTTCCACCAGGAGGGAGATGAGCGGGGAAGAGAGACCAGAGGACTTGTTTTCAGAACCTGGCTTCCGATGCTTAGAGACCTCGGAACTGTCCCCTCTGATCTTCAGCCAGCCCTGACACCCGCTTTCAGTAACTCAGGATGAACCTTCATGCTTAGGAAAGGCACTGCCCTTGCAGATTGGAACATCAAGCCTTTCTTTCCAGTCTACGACAGAGCCCCTCCAGAGGCCGAATTCGGTGGGAGGCTGCTTTTGAAAGTGGTGACGGGGGATCCAGGGTTTTATTTCTGCTTGAAAGCAGGGATCCCAGCTCAGGGGTCAGCAGTAGCCACACACCCCACCCCACCCCCAGCCTTGCTTCTAGTGGCTGCTCTGGCCCCCGGCAAGCAAGGGACCAGGTAACCAGCAGGAGGACACCAGTGCAGGACTTGGAGAACTGAGGTTTCATTCAGTTGCGTGGGTGTCCATCTCTGGGCTCCGAAATCTTCCCAGCAATGAAGCTGCCCTTTTTCCAACTCTCACCTTCTTGTCCCCCCAACCCCAGCCAAAAGATCATTTTGACTCCTTTCTTCCAATCTAATTGCCTTGTCTGTTCGCACTCAGATGGATGTGTGTAGGACCACTAGGGATGTGATAGAGGCATGGGTGTCAGAGATGACTGTGGCCAGAGAAAACACTTCGTCTGTGGATGGGCTGCTGCCCCCTCTGTCATCCCTGAGGAACCCACCTAGGAAGGGCAGTGGCAGATGCGTCTTCCAGCCCTTTCCTCAAGACCTGCCACCTGCTTGATTGTGGGGGACTAGTTCATGTCAGGCATGCACGACGCACTTCTTGCCTAGATTTTCAACTTTTCCCTTCTTCTCCCCCGCCCCCAACTTTGTCTCTTTTTAGTTCATTCCAGTCTCCATCTCTCTCCCAACCCTGGAAGTTTGTAAGGAAAACAGATGGCTTGCACCCAACAGTTCTCTCTGATGACTTGGTGGTGGTGGTGGTGGTGGGGCTCAGGATTGCGGGCCAGGGAGGGTGGGCTTTGCCTCTCAGAGACCAGACCTGGGTGGGGAGGTGGGGTTTCTAACCTGCAGAAAGGAGGTAGCAGGAGGCACTGCTTGGTTGGCACTAGTGAGATTGCTAGTTGGCGGGGGGGGGGGGGGGGGGGGGGAAGGGATCTCAAATAACCCCGAACAGGCTTCAAATTTTGGGAAACAAGAAACCGGAACGTTTGGACACTTGCGCTGGCATGGACAGGGAGTGTGAGTGGCCAAGGCGCACAGCTCAGGCCAGGGCTGGACAGGGGAGGTGGGTGCTGCAGCTGCTGTTTGCCTCTGAGGTCCGGTTTCCACGCGGTGGGCGATGGGCGCTCTGCTCAAGCCGCCCACTGCCCAGCACAAGTACGGGCAGGGGCAAGGCGGGCAGTGCCCAGCTGAGGTCCCTGTGGCCGCCCCCCACCCGCGCCTCCAGAGGCTGTCGGACCCGCCTGGGCCTTATCACCTTTATACTAATGGAGCTGCTTCTCCCCGCCGGTTAGTTTGAAGTCTGTTTACTTGTCTCGGGGAAAGGTGAATTCAGCTGGGGTCTGCGACTGGACACGAGACACAAGGGCCTCGGTGACTCCTCGCTGCCCTCAGTCAGGCAGGAAACCCCGGCTCCCGCTCCTGGCCGCGGGGCGCAGGAAGCGGTCCCGGGACGCAGGCTACCACGTTTCCTAGGCGAGCGAGGCGCGCGCCGAGCTCAGCGCAGGAGGGTTCTGCAGCCTGGGGACCCTCCACTGGTCCGCCCCCAGAAGGCCGACGGTGGTCGTCCTCACCCGGAACCCCCGCCCCGCCCCTCCAGCCTCTGGGGGCCCAGGTGGGTTCTGGGCTCCCCCGCGGGAAAGTGGGCGTTCTGGGGCTGCCCCTGGCGCTCAGGCGCCTGCAGGAGCGGAAGCTTCCCCGCGTGTGGGGGCGGAACAGATGGCCCAGACAGCCCCGCGCAACCTTGTCCCCACTGAAGGACCCCACGAATCCCCACGCCCCGACGGCTGTGGAGAGTGGGGGGAGACTTTGCCGACAGCATCCCCCCACCCGTGCTGGCTGCTCTCCCCCACCCCCACCCCGCCATGTAAACACGAGGACTTTCTCGAGAGCTTTGGAGAGCCGCTCTAGTGGCTTCGGGGCCTGAAACCCCAGGCTTGGCTTGTTTGATGTTTAGCATCCCAAAGCGGTTCCCCACCCCCGCCCCAGCCTGGGAAGCTGGAGCCGCGGGCCGGGAAGGAGGCAAGCTGGGGTCCTCCGGGCCAGGAGGCAGGTGGGGGCAGCGAGAGGACTTCAGCTGCACGGGAGAGGGGTTGGCCGGGGCAGCAGCAGCTTAGGGCCCGCGAGTGAAATCCGAGCCAGGCCGGGGCCGACTGGGCGAGACGCGCTCTGGGTACCGCTCCTGCAGGCGAGGGCGGCCCGGCGCGCTCGGGTCGGGAGCGCCTCCCGGCAGGAGGCAGCCCTTCCGCTCAGCGCTTCAGGTTTGGCCTTTCCGAGGGAATGAGTTGCCCGGGAACCTCACTGGGGCTCTTGAATCCTCCTGGGTCAGGGCTGGGGAGCTCTGTTGACCCCGTCTGGGCCTGGCATCGCAGCCTTGGATTTGGAGAGCCCGGGGAAGAATTCTCCGACTTGGAGCGCGCTTGCCGCGTCTGGGCGTCGGCGAGGGGGCTACCTCGAGGCGCGAGCTCACAGAAGGTAGCGCAAGTCTCTTCCCAGGCGATCGGAGATAAGAGGAAATGAGAGCGGGGTTTTCTGACTTCCAACTCATTAGGGACCAGGTAAGGTCAATGCTTTCTCTATTATGTCTTTATCTTAAAAGCGGGTCAATTTAAGATAAGGGAAAAAAAATCCAGGATCTGTGTGAACCGTGCTGATAAAGACTGACCCCTTTCCTGAACTAAAAGCAAGCCGGGCAGACATTCATTTTCTATAAACAAGAGAGCTGTGAGGAGTTGCCTTGAATTCTGATCGCAAGTCTCCAGGCTGGAGACGCCGCTCCCCCTCCCTGCCTCCATCACCACCACCCCCAATTACTAGAGCGAAGAAGCCGACTCAGCAGGCGATTTTATTTGTGAACTAGGAAATCCGATGGGACGCACGAATGTGGGAAGACAGTATGCTTAGGCATGGCTTGCTAGCTTGTTTGCTTCAAACATCGTGTTCCCTTCGAAGGGAAGGAAAGTGAAAGACGGGGTATGGTAAGAAGGGATGAGGCTGACCGAGTCCCTGCCTCCGCCGCATCCCCCTTAGGAGAGCTGGGCACTGCATTTCTCTGGCCCTCCCTGGCTCCCTGGCTGCTGTGCCTCTGCAGTTGGGTTCCTGAGGCTTCAGGCCACCCTCTGCGGGGGGCCCCCCTTTGGAACCTTTCCTCAACTTGGGGCGCAGAAAGTTTTCTGGTGCTCCCTTGGCCAGTGACTTCTGGAAGGAATGTCCTAGCTTGAGTCACTCTCCCTGGCAAATTTGTCCGCCCAAGTGCCTGGAGGAATTGGATGCGAATGGGAGTAAAGTGTGCATTTGATGGAAGGGGAGGACCGGGGTCTGCGTGCAGCCTCAGCACCACCTCGTGTAGTGCTTCCTGAACTTTCTTTGGTGAGTCTCAAAGGAATGGGGGAAGAGCAGGCTCACCAACTTGGCAGCGCACTTTCTGCATCGTCTAGCCATAGCTGAAGTGGCCAGCTGTATTTCTCCCTGTTAGTGACCTAATACTCAACTCACAGGGCATCCAGGTATCATCCGGGGCTTCTCTCCCTCCCATTTGATTACATTTCCCATTTGATCTCTGCTCCCTAAACGGTGATCACTTTTGTTCTTACGAGTAGTTGCAAATTTTCTGGAAGGGCTGAGATTCAACTCTGTTTTCCTATTTTTATTTGCAGGCCAGTGCAGAATAAATTGAACACTCTTAGTGCTTTGCCTGAAATGTAAATAAAACACAAACGTCAATATTGCATGCAATAGGTCTTCTTAAAGAGAATTCTTTTTTCTCCATCACTGTGTTCACATTTGATTCTCTCCATTCTGCATGTATGTCAGTATGAACTCTTTCATCCGGGCATCCGTATATATCTGCATTTATGTATAAAAGTATATCCAAAGTATTTATCTTATACACTTATATATCTCTTACCTATCTTATAAGGCATTCATAAAGAACCGTCTTTATGTAGAATTCTCTTAGAAAGGGATTTTATGGAAACTGCTTGAAGTAGAATACGTTCCTTACTCCAGTGTGACCAAGATGTCACATGAAATTGAGTTTCTCTTTTAAAAAAATCAAATAAACAGAAACTTTTAGTTTTCCCAACTTTGAATTGGATTGTTTATTGTCATGTGAAACTGTGGAACTAATTGTGTTTTGGGGAATATTAAAATTTGTTCTCAAAGAAATTGAACCTGGTGCTTAAGACACAGCCATGGGTGAGCTTTTTCTCTCAATCTAGAACAGAAATTGTTGTCCCTTGCTGAACTTATATTATTCACTGATGGGCGTCAGTAGGAGCCTGCAAAGATAACAGAAGAGCATATGCAAATGTTTTTGTTCCTCCTGTGTAGCAAATGCCCTATCTCGGCCTTCACATGCTAGTGGAAGTAAGAAGACAAGTCTGAGTTGTCTGACTAGAAAAAAGAAACTTTTCCTGCTGTCCCCCTCCCATTTCACACACTGCGAGGGAGCCTGTCTTGATGGCTGGGTCCACGTTGTCTGCAACAGCAGGATGTGGGCAGAATGTCCAACATTGCATTTCTAGGGCTTTGGGTGACTGTTGAGACTTTCGTTTCTACAAAATCAGAGATGTCAGGCTGTGGAGAGGGTGTTTGGACACCCTTCCCCTGTCGCTATGTCCTGGAGCTGTTTGTGGAAAATCACCCAGAAAGGGGGGGGGGGGCTCCGCTTTGCCTTGCTTTCTCACCCCCCCCCCCCCAAGTGTTGCTGCTCCTCGAAGGTGTCCGAAGCTCTAGGAAAACAAGGGTTTCCTTGACTGGCTGTGCTGATTTACCTGATCACCCTGGCACAGACACCGCAGAGTGTGTGCGCGCAGATGTGAACTTGGGAATTACCGTAATGACATGAAGAGGACTGTGTTGGTTCCTTTGAGCAGGCTGCTCGCTCTGACCTAACCCCAGAGATCTGGCCCGTGTTTAAGGAACTGGCTGTGTCTGTGGGTAAAGCAAGCCCCTCCCAGGAAAGTGCCTGTAGACGGCTTCTGTGCACCAGGTCTCTAAGCAGACTTGGAGCGACAGGCTTTTTCCAGAGAAGAAGTCGCAGAGGCTTAGACTTCTCTCCAGGCCTGGCCACTCCACAGTGCCTGGAGATCTGCAAGGCCTGGCTGGGGACTAAGGGGATAGGGGGTTGGGTGGCGACCCGAGTTTCTTCTTCTAACTCGCCTGGAGAAAGTCTTGCAACTCGTGCCCCACAGGTGGGCACAGAGCTCAGTGCAGACAGAAGTTTCTGGCAATTCCTCACTGCCCACCAACTTGCAGCCTCAACCAAACTGTTTATTACCACTCCCTGGCAGCAGGATTGTTTAGGCTGAGGTCTAGGTGCAGGAAATCTTAAACTTGCTGCATTGTATCAACTTGCACAACAGGTGCAACTCAGAATCCTCTCTGCACATCTGTAGTCCATGGGCTCCTTACTGAAACCAAATGAGAGAATCTTTGGGAAATATTTAACAACAACAAAACAGTTGACCAACCCACCCAAAGCCATAATCTAACACTAGATGAGAGAAAAGCCTTTGAGATGTTAGCACACAAGCTAGACGTCAACCTTCATATATAAACCGTGTCCTAACAATCACAAGGCAAAATCAGCTGTTGAAAATTATCCAACTGGCTAAATACTTCCGATGCTATCTGTTATGCATGAAAGCTGGAGATTTGCTTAAATGTGGTTCTGTTCTTGGGAAAGAGAGATGGGACAAGGAAGAAGGAAGGGAAGGGGAGAGGAACAGCCGGACCAGGTGAAAAGTTGTGGGGGTTCTTCCAGCGGTTGAGACAGCGGAGAGCTACTGGTTATAGTCGGGTCCTGGTGTTGGGGTGGGGTGCTGCTCAGGGCGTGATGTGGGCAGAGAGGGCCTGGGAGACGGCTGAGAGGCAGTGTGTGCACCACGTCTGAGCTTTAGGCCAGGAACACAATGGCATGTAATTATCTGGCTGAAACATGCTCACATGGCAAAAAGTTGCAAAAAAAGATCGACCTCCGGGAGCAGAGAGGGAGCTGTTTGCAGAGGTCTGCAGCCATCATCCTTTTTTCAATACATTTTAAACAAGAGGATCTAGCGAGTGATTCTGATTCAATACACATAATCAGTTTGCAAGTCTTATTTCCATTTGAAAACAGGGCCATTTGCAATCATAAGAGCCGGACACGCTGAAAGATACCGAGCGCATTCCGAGCAGATGATGGGTGACAGAAGCTGTGGCAAGCACTAAATATTTTCCTCCAGCCTCAGACCCTGTGCATCAGGCTGCACTCCCGATGTATTTTAAATAGAATTTTCCTGCTGAATATATCACTTAATTGCTTAGAAAATGGAGATTCCATGGACTCAGGGGGCAAGAACCTGCGGGAAAGGTGACACGAGAAACCGTGTTGTTTCTCCTTGGTCTTGGTTAACAGTCATTTATTTAATGGAGAGTACACTGGGTCAAGATTTGATGAAAAATTCCGATTTGTTTTTAAAGGAACGGCCTCCCGACGGTGTGAGACCCAGGGCTAGCCGGCCCCCCGCCATCCCCACCTCCTACCCCCGGGCCGGAGCCTCGACCCCGAGACCGGCTGCGGCACGGATCCGCAGGGAGGCCGCGGGGCTGGGAAGCGGAGCCTCGACGGAGGTCCAGTCAACGACTCCGCGGCCGCACCGCCAGACCTCCAAATTGTTTGCCAGGGGTCTCACAAGTGTGGGCACTTGAAATCTCCAACTATTTTATGGTCTCTCGTCCTGGAAACTTTGGGTTTCCAGGAGCGGGAGAAGCAGCCGTCCGCCGCCTCCCACTCCTGGCCGCTGCCTCCCCTCGGCGCCCCCTCCCACTCACCCTCTGCCTTCCGCTCCAACCCCTGCTCAAGGCCTCACCCCGCCCACCCGCAGCCTCGCTCTCGCCCGGCTCAGCCTCGCGCCCCGCCCCAGCCGCTGACTCTCATCCGGTTCCCGCGCTGGGAACCACCTCGGGGCGCGCCGCCTGCCGCCCGCGGCCCAGCCCCTCCTGCAGCCCGCGCAACCCAGGCGGCTGTGCGAGGAGCGGAAGCTTCCCCGGAATTTTGACCTCAGAATCGATAGGCAGATGCTAGTCTACTGGGTCGCGACGATGATGCGAGGATTGTAAGAGAAGGCTCGGAAAGCACACTTTTTCTGGGCACAAATAAAATCCAAGCCAGCCGGCCAGCTGTTGTTTCCCTGATGAGTTCTCTCAAGGAAAAGAAAGCTTCCGCCTCTGCCCAGATACCAGCCTCTAACGAACTTTCTAGTAGCCCGGAACTCCTAATTATAGCGTGTGCCTAATGATGATTCCATTTTTATTTCAAATGAGGATAATTTATTAACCTCAAGTCTCTGCCTCCTAGGCAGGCGTTGGGTTTGTAGAAGACATTGCAAAAGCATTTAACGCCCCCGGGAAGATCTCAGAACCGAGAGATGAGGGAGGGGCCGTGGAATTCTGTACGGCTCTTCGCCCTGCATGCCGAATTTCCTGTAAAAACTATCCTGAAAACCTCAGGACTCCTAACAGGTGCCACGCGGCTGGGTCCAGAGGCGCCCCTTCTTTCAAAATATTTTTTCCT